ATTTCCAAAATATAAAACCCAAAACCAAATTAAGGAAACCAAACAATGGATTTAATACTAGTGAGGGACAGTCAATAAAAACAAGAAAAGAAGGGGAAAAATGAAGACACTTCTCTGGAAGAAGGAAGATGGCTGATGGGATGGGTGCAAGAAAGGACAATGGGTATCTGCATCAAATTCTCACACCTGGTCAAAGGTAGGACCTGTGCCTCCATGATAAAGAACTAATCAAACTCTGCACATATATTATACATATATTCATACATCTTCATGCATTTAGTTACAGACTCAAGTTCCAAATGGAGGTAGAATGTTATGTGATCCCCCAACTACTGTCCCCACTGCTGCCTGAAATAGACACTAACTGCACCTAAGAACCAGGACCTGAGCAGTCCTGGAATCAGGAGGAAGGCCAGGGTAAAGACTGGTGAAGGCTTCTCCCGAGTTCTGTCCTTTGACTTGTGGATTCCTGCCTATAACCTGCTGCTCAGCCACAATGACTCCACGGAGAGTGAAGATAATAATAGGTGTGGTTTAGGCATGGTTCTCAGTTGCCGGTGGACACCATGTACCATGCTGGATATGGTCTCTTGTGGGATCCACTTGGAGCTGAGGCTGAGAAACAGTTAGCACAAGGGGACCTAAATTTTCTGCCCAGAAATGAGACTCCCAGGGGAAGTAATCCTAAAAGACCCTTCTACCCAGGATTTCCAGGAGCAGCACTGGGACTCAGTATGGAGGTTAAGATGCTGCAGAGCAGGGGTGCAAACCCAGTGGCCTGTGAGGTCCAGGTAGAGGACCTGAAAGGCTAGACAAGCAGGATGGGGTGGGATGTGTCTGGCCACTGCAGAGCTGTTCCCCATTTTAGTCCAAGGCTGCATGGTGGGACAGAGGGCCTGTTGCTTTCCAATCTCATGATTTCTTGAAAGAGTTCGAGGAAGAAATCTGGTTTTTAATAGGAACTCTTCTGGTATTTAAGTTTTGGCAACTAATTAAAGATAGTAACTAATGAAGTCTAATGAAAAAACTGTTTGTGGCCTCATCTGGCCAAGGGGACATCAGTCTTAAAACCTCTAGTGAAAAGGAAAGAGAAGCAGATTCCCAAGAACCCCATTCAAAGCTTGGCTCTGCTCCTAACTTGCTGGGTGGCTTTACAAGGCTCATGTCCCTTGTCTGGACCCTGAATTTCCTACTGAATAAGGACACAGAACTTGGGAATCTTTGAGAAGCTTGCATTTGAGGTGCCGTGGTTTTATGAAGACCAACAACAGAGGTCTATAAAGTCAAAGCCCTTTGGAATGGGAAAAGATAGGCATTGATGAGCCTAAGTACTTATAAGGCAAAGAACTTGCAGGAATTCTGGTAGCTCACTGAAGGGGGCAGGAGCCAAAGGATAGTTTAGAGAAGAGTCCAGCAGCATCCGGTACTGTCAAAGGCACAGTGATGCTCAGGCATGCAGTTCCATCTGCAGCTACAACCCTATGACCAGTGGCTGTCTACCCATATGTGACATGCCCTGATTCCTTTGTGAGTCGGGGAAGTTGGAGGCAGAGGTGGGCAGCAACAGGAAGCCTGGGAGCAGCTCCACTCTTCTGTGAATTCCCACCAGATGTCTAGGGTATTCCACACCTGGGACCAAGCAGTGAGCACTCTAGCTCCAGCCTGTGGGCGCCCCACAAACCGCAGCCCAGGTCCACCTTGGTTGGAAAGATTTCATACCAGGCATACAAAGGGCTTGTTCCCCACCAAAGATGGCATTCTGAACGCTAACTCTCTCTCTCTCTATGGATTGAACAGCAAATAGAATGGAGAAGAGTTTCAGGTGAAAGAAGAAAAAGAATACAAAATAATAAAAGAGGTCAGAAGAAGGAAGAAGAGAGAGAATAAATGTTTAAATACGTGATCCCTTGGATTTTATAAGAAACTGTTTACTTTCCATTTAGAACCAGGAGGTTGGATGTGTGGATGTTCTGTGTGGAGGGGGGGAGGGGGGAGACACTGAGGCCTCAATATCATGATGGCGCTTCTGTCGCTGAAGAAGCATCTTACCTCCCCACCCCCACCCCTGTGGCTGCTGCCTCCCCCCAACTTTTCCTCTTTTCGCCATTCAATGTAGAGCTGGGATTTGGCTAGAATTCCACAACTGAACCCTCTCATTGGAAACCTGATCCTGTTTTCTTGGGCCTCTGAATTTATACCGAGCATTGCACAGGGGCTGGGGAACCCTTGAATCTAGGTCAGAACATGTCGCCGGCATTGATTTTGCTAGAGTGAAGCTTCTCTCAAGGCAGCCCACTGGATATCACACCACTCTCAGAAGAGGGAGAAA